ATATGAACTACTATGTTACTAAAAGACATAATTCAATAAAGGGTAGTTCTGTACATCGTAGAAAACTTATTCTCCCTCTTTGTGAGGACCAACGACTAAAAACTACTGTTCTGCGTTAGTGAAGATTCTTCACACATCTAATGTGCAAGCCTCTTGCAATTTCCAGTTTTCAGTTTGACGTGAACGACTCAAACTACGTTGGCTTTACCAGGGTAAGTTTTTATTATTCTGCCCTTTGAACATGACTTTGGAAATAGCTCACCTTCTTTGACATCTTTTACAGTTTTCCATTGTTGTCGCGAATTTGGTATTTCATCAATTATTGCAGGATTAGGGAATTCACCACTCGAGGATCCGAATAGAAAATGATTTGGGGTCAAACATTCTGGGAATTTTACATCTTTAGAAACATATATTATGTCAAAGGTCTGCAAGATAATACAAGTGAGATGGTAAAGACCTTGACATAAATACAACATTTATAATCCAGAGAATGATGATTATTGATACAGTCGTGAGATGATCCTTGCAGATGTCTTAAATTATGAGCTATGTGCTTATTCGCCAACATTCTTTAAATCATGACCTCTAATTTACTACTTAATGGACAAAATTCATGAAAATACCGAATTTCCGAGTATAGTGTCAGATTATCTCAATCAAAAGTTCCAAAAAGATCGGCCATTTACGTACTTTTCCATGCTCAAATTTTGTCGGATTATGGATATGTTAAAAAGACACATTAGTAAAGTTGAATAAAACTTAAAACGCTTCTGAAGCAATTGTGCCCAACGTTTATGGGTCATTTTTCTTAGTTTGACTAGTCTAACTTGTTGCGTATACTTTTACTTCGTTTTACGAATTATACGGAGAAACGTTATTTATAATCCCGTCTTATTTTATTGCTGTCTCTTGTTGTACCCCTTTCGTTATTAGGTAGCAAACCTCATAATTTCTCGATTCAGCGAGTAGCACGTTTTAGCGAAAACCAAGCGGGAAGATAGAAGCAAACTAGCCAAGAAAATATGCTAAAAAGGGGTGAGATTAGATCTCTAGGAGAAAAATAAATCTTTTGCTCGTGTTTTCGGAATGTCTCACGCTTTCTGCGGCGAGAAAATGATAATACCAACTGCGAGAGATAACATTTCTGTAAAATTTCGGTAAATGAACGACCTAAATGGGTTTGTGGGGTATATAAAGAGATAATGAGGAAATGAGAATAATTCAAAAGAAGGAAAGGTTTCGTTGGAGTTTTGTCAACTTTGACAAAATATTAAGAAAAGGATATTTAGAATATACTATTTAAAATTTCACTTCGAATTAAATCTTTACTTTTAAATACAAAGAATAAACGCCAAATAAATTCATTAAAATTACTTCAAATAATTATTATTTATAATTTATTTTATTTATTTTACGATATATAAACAATGTATCTTAAAACCGCCAAATTTGCAGATGACACTGTTCTCTCATGTTCAGAAACTCGGCAACAGTGTATTTAAATTATGACAGTTGAGACCTCGACAGTTTGAAGGTTAGAGGGAATGTGCCATGTGCTATGTTCAGAATGTACTCGTACTTCTTGTGAAATTGTGTTACTTGGGAATATTAAAGAATAACAAAGGCACACGATATAGTATTATTACGAATCTTAATCACTATTTATCCAACAAAACAGACATCGCTCTTCTATCAACAGCAACGAATGTAGAACAAACAACTAAAAAGTTGCAAATTGTCGCGAATGAATTAAACGAATGCACCAAAAAGTTGAGAATAAAACTTAATAAAGAAAAGTTGACAAACATACACTTTCCAAATAAAATCAACAATCAAAGGATATGCCTATTACAATAAACGGACTGAAAGTACCATGTAAAAATAGCGAAATATGTAGGAGCATCTAAAAACGAAATTACAATAATACTTAATAAACTGCTCAAGCAAATTCTGAAACTCACATATGGCCTTCGTTACATCAACCAACATTGCTCCCATTAAAAAATTTCAAAACAAAGTACTTCGGAAGATCATAGACCTTCCATTTTATATCCGAAACAGGTCTGCACACAAGGACCTCAACATGATAACAGTTAAAGAAGAAATCAAGAGATTTGCTCCAAAGCCCGAAAAAAAAAAACAGAAGAGGACAACACTTTCAGATCTAGTGTAATAATTAATAGAAAGTGTTTTAAGCAGAACTCAGTGTTAAGTGAAAATTCACAGCCATCACCTGAGAGAACCAACAATGAGTGATATCTTAGTTTTAAGAGTAAACAATACCACTTGCCATTTTGCCAGATGACCTCGATCAAGAAGTTGTTAGGAATACAGAGAGACGAAGGAATTGGCAACGCTGCATCCTTCATTCAACTGGCTGCATTCGTTAGAGCTACACTGTAGTAGCAAACAACAACTGGTTCTCGGCTCTCATTTAAAAAATAATAACACTCATGACAACTAGTAAAAAAAACTTATGATCCCATAATAACTATTTATGTGGTATAAGACAATTTTTTTTTCTAATGTTGACTATATTACTTATAAAATTGTGTTTTGGTAAAACATTACTGACATCTAGTCGCCAGCGCTTACACGGTATGACTACATGCGGTGCAGGCAATAACTGGCACATTCCTCATACATATACTAGCAGACAAAAGAGTCAAAATATACAACCGGGAAAACGGCCAATAATTTAGGAATGTCCAACGAAAGGTCAGCCTAAACACCTGATAACAAGAGTGGGTAAGCCACACGATGACAGCGCAGTGGACCAAGAAATTGGTCAAGGATGTAGCAAAATAGTACATATAGAAACACCGGCATCTAAATTACTATACGACACTAATGATAATTGGACCTGGATTGCCAAAACGAATAGGAAAAAGTGATACCTACATCTACTATGACGCCGTAGACACGCAAGAGCACACCATCTATCACTGCCACAGATGGGAGGCGAACAAAATCAGAACGTGAACAGCAATCGACCTAGAGAACACAGCAGAGGCAATAATAGAGGGCGCTAAAGACTGAGAAGCCCTCAGGAAACTAATAAAAAACATCCTAAAACAGAAAAAAGAGGGCGAGAGAAAGATGCAGGCAGCAATCGGGAAAGAAAACAGGAGAAGTCCATAGATAGATAACACGCAACCTACAGAAGGCAGACAACCCAGTACTCATGCAGCATGTCCCACAAGACGATACCAGGAAACTGGAGTAGTTAGGGGTGGTTTTAGTGAGTAAACCAGACTTGTAGTATTCGATAGGCAGATGAGTTTTATTACCAATTTTTCTAACCGATGCTGTGGGGTTAATATTAGTGTATTCTAACACAGCTTCAATTCTCTTCTCATTTTCAACAGCTTAACGATTTCTGGGTTTTCATATTACAGCAAAAAATGTAGTTTGGTTGATGATAACGCTGTAACGTTTGTGCGGACTACCAAGTAGGTTTCTAATGTGTCTAATTTTTCTTCAATGGTAAAATTAAGAGTCACGTCTAATGGTCGGGTATTTGAAAATATTAATAACAACGTAATCCAAAAAATAACAAATTGAACCAAAAAGAAGCTATTAATTCAAAATGAAAGAATAACATGCAATTATAATTTGACAGGGTATATGGGAATTTTTTTATTATTTACCGTTCATGAACTATTCTTGCTTCGAAAATAAAAAAAATTGGCCACGTTTTTTTTGTTGATCGGCTATATCTGTCAAATTTGGCATATTTCCAAATAATATTATTCTACCCACCAACCAAATTTGAACGAATTTGATTTTTTCCAATTTCTAGAATTTAAAAAGATCACTTAAAATGTAATACATTCCTGTGTTTGTGTTAAAAATTTACGTTTTAACCGGTGGGTTAGGTTAAGAAAACTGAAAAAAAAACTTTTGCATTACATTTTTTTCGAAATTTTGAGAGGTACCTATAAGTCGATCTAAAGAAACAATCGTCAACGTCATTTTTAGGTTTTGGGGTTTCATTTTTATTTCTGTTTTTAAATTTATTTGCTATTAATATCAATATCTATTTTACAATTGACAATATTTTCTTCCCGAGTCTAGAGACTTAAACGTGTTAGTTTTCGTACGTGAACTGCTTTTTTGTATTGTTACCACTTCTGAAGTTAAGTGTGAGCTCAGAGGAAAATCAAAGAAAAAATTAACCCGAGCCAGAGCTACAAGTAAAGGTAAGGGCGAAATGCTGTTAATGTTTTACAAAAAATCTTATAAACGAAACATTTTAATATTTTTGATAAGCTCTAAATTTGGGTAGGTAAACTGAATATAAAAAAAATCCGTAGATGCAGGGTTAAAATTGAAAAACACATTATTATTTTTTTTATTACTGTTGTACTTTTTATTTCATATATCTTCTTTTCGAATTCCATCTAACGATAGTGCCTCGAAAAATTCAAATCAAACGATTTTCGATTCTCATTTGGTTGCTTAAAACATAAAAAAATTCCTTTTGTCAGTAATGCAATTATCGGCTGCATGCACATACACATATGCTAATGTAATCTCAATTTTTTTGAATCTCGGTTCGCATTTCCATTGTGTTCGTAATTTTTCGTGCTCAAACCCATCCCTATTTGCATTCGACAACTAAAAATTAAACCGGGCAATGCAGATAGACAATGTTTGCATAAAAATGAGAATTACGCATTACGTTTAGCATTGGTCAATCCTTTGAAGTTTTTGCAAACAACCCTTCTTTCGCCGTTTTGCCCTTTACAACAGAGCTGTAACGAGAACGAATTTTTATCCAGCAGAAAATTGAATATATTACACGAGTACAAGAGAATTCTCTTAATCACACGAGTGTGAAATATTCAATTTTGTCACAGTTGTTACCTTTTAATCTCAGTTGATAATTTTGACACTTGTATCATATTCAAAAATTTATTAGATGTCACCACTTACTGAATTTATGTTCTTCGATAGCCTTACAAATAAAAAAGAAGAAGAATAAAATGTGTTTTCTATTTATTCATTAAATATCTTCTGGAATTCCAAGAAAACTGAAAAACCACTAACATATAAGATACCATCGTTCTAAATAAAGTGATAACATTTTTTTGATCTATATTGTGAAATCCTTTCACTGATAATACGGGTCTGAATTCTTTGGAAATCGTTGCCAATAATATCAGGTCCTCTTGATGTCTTCGATTTGCTTCAGAATGCAGTTTATAGCAGGTTTTCGTGAAAATTAGGCTGGTCGTGTTCAATTCTTGGCAGCAAAATGATAGGTGAAACAGCATTATCTAAAAAGAAATACCATTTACTGATACAAACAATTTTTTTTAATTTATTTACAATAAAAGTCTAGGATGTTGAACAAAATAACGTAAATTTGAACAAAAAAATATTCCACTCAGACCAGAAAAGCAAAAAATAAACAGTGAAGAGGTGGTATTGGATAGACTAACAACGCCGCTGAATTCCAGGCAGCTTTGCTTTCGATATTCACGACCAAGCTGTGACCATTTGTTTTATCACTGTTTAATAAATCTAGTTAATAAATTTTGTATTTATGCCCCATGACCTGTTACAAAATTTTCTGAAAGTACGTGGTGATATTCCGGCCTAACTTTTTTCAACTCAGTTTTTTATCTGTCTTAAATATTTCACTTCTTTAACTACAATGGACTGTCGAAGTTTTCAAAGTTTTCTCTTTTTTGTAAAGAGACTAGCAATTGTTGGGGGATTTACAGACATATACTTCTATTAGCGTCAGGCAATCATAAAGGATATGCTCGATGGTCTCAGATTTTTGTTTGCACCCCTTACAGAGTGCGGATTCTGACTGCCGCGTTCTATGGAGATGCTTCCGTACTTGTCAATGAGTAGTCAGAATGCCTATGATCAGGTACAGATTATGTCTAGTCATAATTAAGTATTTATTTGCTGTGGTGTCGTCGCAATAACTTAAAAGCTTCCTGGCAATTCTGCATCTTTTTGTTTCATCCCATATTTCCTTGAATTGCACAAGGGAATGTTCTTTAATTAGGTGTATTACTACTACTTTTATCAGTCCAGTGAAAGAGCCAAGTCCTAAAAGTATTTGGATGGCTGCCTTCTTGGCTAGTGTATCAGCAAGACCGTTACCTTTCGGTGTGGCGTGACTTTTGATCTATTTTAAGGTGACTCTATTGTTGACGGATACTTTGGCCAGAACATACTTCGGCCAGAACTTCATGAGATTCTAACACTAACCCTAAGTAAATTCTTGGTCTATCCAGGGAGACTAATGCTTGTCTGCTATCTGTATATTCATGTTGCTTCCAGTGATATCGTTTCTCGTAATTTTTTTGCTTCTATTAAAATCGTCGTGAGCTCAGTTTAAACTGCAGTTGCACTATTGCTTGCAACCCATTTTATATGTAGTTTTAAGGATCTGGATGATATTCTTCATCCTAAGTCTTGATTTGTTTTAGAACCATCTCTGTAGATATATGATTTATACATGCCACTTTAGGCTCTTCCGTTTGTTCTATTATATCTTTATATGGCTTATGAAAGATATATTTTGGTGATTATCCATTATCAGGAGTCTGTAAGGGATTTTCCTGGCCTCCTTATTCAGCAAAATATGGACAGAGATCTTCATGGCTCCCATCTGTGTGGTTGACATTTCTCTAGTGGTGACGGCTCGCAAGCCACTGGATTCCGGCCAGCTTTACTCTGGCCGTCCATTGAACCACAGTTTGGTAAATGAGTTAGTTACTTACGTAACTAAAAAATGTTAAAAAAATACTTACGAAAAACAAAGCAGCAAATACATACTCAGCAATTTGCTTCAGAAATCCATTATCGTTAGTGCTATACACCGATATTATTAATATTTCTATGGTACTAGCAATACCAATGCATTCAACGCAGAACATACTGAAACCAAAAATATCGTTAAAATCGTTTACAAAATTATTTGCTGCAATAATGAAACATTGAATGTTCTTTAAATTGCTGTGAGGAAAAGGCTTATTCGACATTGTATCTATTACTTTGATTCTAATTAAATGATATCGCATTCTTATTATTTTAACAACGTATAAGTAGTATGTATATATGAGTGTGATAATAAAATTTGCGAAAAGCTGAGTGGCTTTTTTGTAACAGTTAAACACTGTGGCATCTGTTAATACACTAAACCTGCATATGTGTAAAATTACGAACAGTATACAGATAATGAATAAATCTTTGAAGGCTGTTTTAAAAGCGTTGTCTTCAAATTCCAGGGAATCCAGGACTCTTTCCATTGCTTTCAGATTCTGTAATAATTGTATCCATTTTGGTGATTTGCAGTAAGCCATGTAAACTAAATTAAAGAACAACAACAGTATTGCCAATCTCCATACAATCCATAAAATTACAAAAGTACTATTTAGTTCTATCAGAAGATATATGTTAGTACAATAAACTGTTAAAATAAACAAAGTTATTAAAACGTGTAAGCAACGTATTAGGAATATAAATTTCCGATTTTTAGAAAAAAATTGTGGAGAAGTACCGTATTTAAATATTAATTCTAAAGCTTTAATATCGGAACGTTTTTTTCTATTGTTCTGGTTCATTTTGATATGTTTACGTTCAGTCTTTTTTCTACTAATAATACATAGTAATAAAAATATTCAGCTGGGTCAATCAAGATAATAATTAATCTAGTTTCCACTGTACAAGGCAGAAATACATTTTTAAAAAGCCGACATGATGTACTATTATTTTGGTATAATTACAAATATAATACGAGGTTTCATCCGAAAGCTAGATACATTGAAGAGGTAAATATACGAGTAGACCGCAAGTATTTTTATTGCTACAAAAGATATCAATATAAATCAGTATATACAGCATTACTAAATATTACCTCTAATCATTACTATGAAGTCTTAGTGAAAACTTTAAGTAACAATGAGGTCTCATTATAATTTGGCTTTTCTGCATTTGTTATAAAACTTACATTCCCTGTAAAAGTACTAAAAATGCATCGGTAATAAAAAAAGATGTTGTAGATACCCCTTAGAACGTATCTGAACTTCACCCTTATTCAATCTATTTCGAAAAATAAATAAAATCCCCATTGTTAAGCCAATTATGCTCGTTTATGATTTATACGAGATGAATGGTCAGTGATTAATCTGATGCAAATAACTGGACCAAGGGGTCAGTCACTATAAAAGGGTTGAGATTTGTTCGGTAGTCTCCCCTTCAATCTGATGACTGTCAAATCTGGGTAAGAAATGGCATGTCAAATTAGTACATAATTTAATAATGAAAAAGTATTAGAAATATATCATCTGCTTTTAATTCCGTCAAGATTATTTATTTATTACTGCTAAATTGGAAATATATACTTATTATTGGCCCAAGATTTGACTCTTGAAGAACTCTTGTTTTTAATGTTATAGAGTATGATTGAAATACAGTGTACTAAAAAACATAAATAATAGAGTACTAATTCTTATAACACATGATTGATACTATTCATTATTAATGTTTTAACTCAAGAACAAAATATTTCATTGATCCCTGTCCACTTACCATCAACGTACAATGCTGGTGCATGATAAATGGATATCACGCGCCATATGATTGCAGAAGTTATCGGTATTACGTGCCATACTAGTCATCCACGCATACATATTTATTGCCAAAATAATTTCTGCCAATTTCTGTTTCATCCAATAATACACTTTCCATATAATGTTCTTTTCATCTTTTGATACAGACTTTCGCCTCTGTAATTAGGTTCCACTTGGATCGGCCTCTGAATCTATAACTATTGTAACAATAGAATCGATACAAATCTAACTTCGTCGAATGTTAGTTTTCAACTGTCTTTGTGCGTGTGCTGATAATATTTGAATGTTAGTTTTCAACTGTCTTTGTGAGTGTGCTAAAAATATTCAACCCGCAATCCGTTTGTTGTTTATTTACTTGAAAGACATCCGATTGTCATCGTCTAGAAATATTGTTCTATCATCTTACAAAATTGTACTACTCTCTATTGCAGAGTTAAAACTAACTTCAACTGATTTGGCATTTTTGACTCTTGTAAGTGATCCACATATGAACGGGCTTTTTTGTCTCTTTAACTAATACAAATGTAAGGATCAACGAAATTCCCAGAACGAATATTACATTTTTTAAGAGATAAGTGTGTCTGTATTTGTATTAACACCATTTAACACAGATAACAAAGTCTTGAATAATATATTTCTCATGATGATGGCTCTAAAACTATCAGCATCGTCGGCCAATCGCGTTATTTATTTTTAATTTACGTATTTTAAAATTAATAGATAATTCACTCTTTCTAATATAATAGCAGCTTTAATGTTTTATTTAAAGGTAGTTTACTCACAGTGGGAGGGGGGTAAGACCAAAATTTTAAGTTGGCAAGATACGCTTTGCGAGGCCACTAGTGATGCAAAAGGATGGATTTTACATAAATACAGAAAAAAATTAGCTGTATTATTTTTATTTATAAAAATACAACGGATTTTACATAAATAAAGAAAAAATTAGCTGTATTATTTTTATTTATAAAAATACTGTTAAGAGTGAGATTATAGGCCTTTTTGATTGACCCTTAAGTCCACTCTTAGCGGTAACCACGAGTTATATAGAGGGGCCCAATTTTTATTTAAATTTTCCTCTAGACAACACACGGCTAGGGGGTTAAGTTCAGAAGAAACCCTAACTTCCTGACGATGATTCAGAGGACGTGGAAAGGGTTTGCCCTACAGGGACTCTTCCCTTTAGCAGTATATCCCTCTCTCAGAGATCTGACTAAGCCAATACCCCCGCCTTTGAATGATCGTAAGTTTTCATAAACCAAAGAAAGTTGAAACAAGCGTAAAAAAATAACTATTATTTATTTAACAAATAAAAACAGCTAGTATTGCTTCCACAATCACGTAGTCTTTACTGACTACACAAAAACTAAATATAACTACTTAAAACTATTTACTTACATAAGCAATATATTCTATCTGTTGGGCAGCAGGGCTGGCTGAAGCACACGTTACTTTTATCACTATGGTTTTACAAAAAAAAACTAACCGCGACCCGTGATTCTACTATCGGACACAAAAAAGGAATCCACTTAATTCGAATAATTTCGACCGCTCGTCAACAAAGACCAAAAGGAACTATCCGAAAATTCACTTGTTGATCTTTCTTAACCCCTTACTTTAATATTATTATTTAATAAAACCTTGTCCAACTACACGTTTTATTATTTTATTGAATATTTGTTTAGCGCGACTGCCCTTGGACAAAACTTTACAAATCATAACATACCTATTCACAGGGTGTTATATTTATTCGTAACAATACATCTTCACTTTATCTAACATTATTAACTTTGGAGGGATGAGGACTTTTCTTAGCTCCCCAACGATAAATACAGAAACCATTTTAGCTCTCCAAAGATGCATACAATAAAATAGAAGTCATGTATTACGTCTTATTTGTTACGTTTTAGTAAATTATATATTACATTGCTGGACAATAATGGCGTTTTGCTGGAAAAATACGGTGATTTACTGTACGTTTGCTGTACAAGATAAAATGCTGTACTGACTTTGAAAATACTGTAAAATACAGTAAAATACTGTACATATGGTTACCCTATTTTAGCCTTACTGATCTTAATAACTGTATTCTAATTCAGTTTAGATGCTGTATCTGCTTGATAAAACAGCAAAAGTCTTTGCTACTCCTTAAATATTTTTTTTTATTAGTTTTAATTTTGAAAAGCTTCATTCAGCGGAGGCTGTATGATATTAACACGCGATAATATCTCATACCATCTCAATATTTTTAGAAAACAACTATATTAAATATTGGAAAAGTGGCTCCGAAACACATGTCCATATTGTTTTAAAACAAGCTTTAAAAGTGGAGGCAATTTTTTATATTAGACACAATTGCCAAAGTCAATATTCCTATTAATATTATTAAGCTATATATTTAATGCATCTTTTTTTTTAAATAAATATTTTGACAAATCAATTTAATAAATTTTGGTAACAGATAATAAATAATTTTTTGACATTTGATCCCCTGCCTATGCTGACTCGGTTACTTTTCGTCGGAATTTTCATTCAGAAACAAAAGGTTGCCAAACTTAAATGTTATGAACAAGAATGTTCAATATCCACATACGATACACGTGTAAAAGACGATAAATAAAAATCTTAAGTGATTGTAATGAATAAAAAACTGATATTGATGCTTTCAATTCTTTAAATGTCTTTTTTTAATAGTTTATATTAAAGGTCGAGAAACGCCGCACTTGACGAGACCACTTATCCCCTACGTATTTTGGGGCGCTGATTACGAAAATGAGGGTTAAAACTGGCAGCAATGGTTGGAACACCCCTAAAATTGCAAAAAACACCCGTAAATAGGGGTGTTTTTCGACTATACTTGTTGTATTGCAAACTAACTCTTCTCATATGTTTTTTGGGGTGCTTACAACAGAAGAAAAAATTTGCATATGTGAAGCTTATAATCGCCCATACGAGTTTGGCAGAAATAATGGACCCAGTATTAAATGGGATGGATCTCAATTTGAGCTCGTCTTGAGTTATGAGTAGGGTTGCCAGACGTCACGCTTTTGGCGTATTTGCCACGCTTTTTGACTTGCTTGTACGCGCAATTCCACAGTACGAAAATGCCACGCTTTTGAAAAAAATGCGACTCTTTTTATGCAAATGCCACGTTTTTTAATTGAAAGCCGCGGAGGAACCGGATTTATACAAAAATAGACAAATATCTGGATTATGAAGACTAGGAGGCGAATCGGCCTTGGTCAAATTTCAAATTTCTGCCCCTATTTTTATGGAGTTCCAAAAAATGACTGTAGTTGGCAGGTGGCAAAATAACGACGTCTATTTTCTATGCAAGTTAATGGGAATTAAAGTGATTTTTGTAAAATTTTGTGAAAAGAATAAAAATAAGTTGAAATAAAGAACCTGACTACAAGTAACAATAAGTAACAAAAAACGTCAAAGCAGGATTTGCTTCGTTCCGGGTTGAAAAACGGGATATAAATCCGATATAAAATTAAAGAAAACACAAGGAGATAAAAATCCAAGTCTTTTTAAAACTCATAGTGTAGGTAAAATAATGTATTTATTTATATTTATTGTAAAATAGTCACAATCCGTATCTTACGGAGTGTAGTTTATTTAATTACAAAATTCTATAATAAAAAATAATAAAGTAATAAATCCTGACTTACAAACAACAATAATTACTCATTAAATTTAACTTACTAGAAAAGAAAATTTGC